GTTTTTTGATAGGAACTGAGCACTCTTTTCTCATGTAAACACCGTTGGGATTAGAAGCACACACTCTTCTTTACAGAGTTCCACCGGGGGTTTCGCGGGAGCGGGGGGTCTGCTTCCCCCATCCACTTGGTATGGCCCGCAGGCGCAGGGCCCCCTGGGAGTCGATGGCGCGCAGCTTAACCCGCAGAAGGGCGCTGGCCGGTGGGTGTGCAGAATATCTTGCTGCGCCCGAGGTATCCGCGAGGGGGAAGAGCTCGTGCGGCAGCAGTTGGCCGTCTAACCGCTGCTAGAAGAGCAGCCAAGCGGGACCCAGAGGTGAGGGCCGAGCTGGCGCCTCCCCGAGGCCGACCCGGCCTGGCTGTGTGGCTCTCGCCGCTGCCCGCTGAGGAGCTGGTGCCATGGGCCGAGGTGAAGCTTCAGGGAAGCGGGCCTGAGAGTAGTGCGCCGTGGAGGCGACTGGGCCTCAGGTCAGCGCGGCAGAGAATGGCGCGGTGGAGCAACCCTCCTTAGCGACCCCAAGAATTTTCTACGGGACACTGGCGAGGAAGGTGAGGGGTGCAAGCGTGGCCGTGGGCCGGCCCTCTCTGCCCGCTACTGACTTCCGGCGTGCAGCGCATTGTTATGGGAACACCAGTCCTCTTTTCCCTCCAAGGAGGGGTCCAGAGACCAGTCGGGGAGCCAGTCAACTGCAGCGCAACTGCACAGCTGGAGAGGGGTGGGGAGGCTGGGTGGGCTCCGCGGGCCCCATGTGGGTGAGAGCAGCTGGGTGCAGAGTTAGGAGGGCCTCAGGTTCCCTGTCCAGGGACAACAGCGCTGAGCAGCCAGACCTCCTAGAGCGCAGTGGTGAGGGACAGGTCTTGCAGAGCCAGGTGCCGCCCTCCCCGCTGCACCCCGCAGGAGTGTCTTCCTTAGCAGGTGTTGTGGTTTGTATCTAGTTGTCCCCGCAAAGCCTCAAGTAAATCATGCAGCAGATGTAGCTCAAGGAGCAGTGAGTGGCTTGAGGGGCGGGACCAGAGAGGGGCCAACCGTTAAACTGGCAGCATGTGCTCCGCCCCTGCCCCCAGGCCTGCGGCCTCTTGGAGGTGTGGAGAGGGTCATCCTGGACACAGTGGCTCTCTTCCAGACCCTGTAGGGTGGGGCGGCAGTGTCTTGATATTGAGACCGCCTGAGGGAGAGAAGATGTTTGGAGAAGACAGAGGCACTGACCCTCTCTGGAGCAGAGGTCTTGCTAAATAATTCGGGCTGTTTTAAACGATGAAACCTCCAGTAACTGAGCTAAATAAATAAGCCTTTCCTTCCCGCATTTTGAGTGTTGGGTATTTGTCCCAGCAACCAGAAAAGAGTAACTAATATTGTAGTACTGTGCCAGGTAGAGCCTGTCAAGTTCCCATCAGCTTGATCTTTTTAGATATGTAGGGCAGACTGTAACCAAACCCCACCCCCACCACCCCCACTCACAAACAGGCCAGTATATTTCAGTTTGTTAGTTGCCCAGGTGATAGTTCCTATTCCAAATCCTGTTGCTCCTGTTCCTTAGAAAAGGTTGTGATGCATAGCTGGGTAATGTGGGGCACATAGTATAAACCAATCCCCAATAAACAAGCCATTCCGCTCTGTACTTCCCTTTTGCTTATCCAGTATAAGCCCTAAGCCACCAAAGATCAAGGCCTGATGTTCATTAGAGTGATCCTGATCAGTGCCCATCTAAGTAAAACAAATGTGCCTCCAAATCTTGGGAGGCATTTTGGTGTCTCCGCTTGTCTTGCTCTTGCAATACCATCTTCCTTATGTTGGCAAATCGCCTTTTCATTATAGCTTTGAGGCATTTGTAGCTTGCTTTGCCTTCTTTCCTACTGTGGCTTTACAGGTATTATTTCTGCTTCCTTGGAGTTTGTTTGCTGAAGTGACTTATGAGAACTGGTTGCATCTTTTAAAACTATTTTAATTCTCCCTAATTTGGAATTGTATTCTCCAATTTTTCTATGTGTTGAGTGAGTTAATACTAAAAGTAGGAGCTGGTGGCATGTGCCTGTAATCCTAGCACTTGGGAGGCTGAAGATCACAACAGTGGGAAAAGGAGCACCTCTGTCTGTCTGTCTGTCTGTCTGTCTGTCTGTCTGTCTATCTTATCTATTTATCTATCTATCTAGAGTCAGAGTCTGGCTTGTGGTTCAGGGTAGCCATGAACTCACAAGAGTCCTCCTATCTCACCCTCAAAAGTGATAGGATTACAGACATGGGCCACCATGCCCAGCTGTTTTGTATTTTTAGGTATAGTTATGGAAATATGTAACTACATTTGTGACACATGGAAAGCGAACACATACTGCCAGCAAGTGTCTTCCAAGCATGGTCCTGAGTATTTCACACTTCATGTCTGCATCTGAGATACTTCTCAGCAGCCCTGTCAGGCAATTCACCAAATCAAGGACATCATGCAAGATATGTTATTTTTTATGTGTGTGCCACTAAGAAAAAATAATAGTAATAATAATTATACAACCTTAGGAGCATGTATATATTTTTGTTCATATTTGTTTCTGATTTTAAGACCAGATCTATATAGTTTAGGCTGGTGTTTAACTCACTGTGTACCCTAGTCAGGCCTTGAATTTGTGGCAATCCTCCTGTCTCAGCGTCCTGAGTGCTGGCATTACAAGATTAGCACATAGACCACAATGCCCAAAGGTAGTCTCCTAGCTTAAATGCCTGTTTCTTCCTTGATATTTTCCTTATGCTTTCTGGCCCACAACACCTAATAATTTTCACATCTCCAAAGTCATGTGTCTTTGTATGCTAATGAGATGACTGCTATCTAGTGGTTCCTGATAGCATTGGGCTGAAGGAGTTAGTTCTCAAGGAGGACCAGGCACTGATTAGTGTTGAGATTTGGGTCCCTTTGTCCCAGCTTCTGGGGAGAAATGAGGGGTTGAAGGTTGAGTCCCTCAGTAAGGCCAGGGTAGTACTCAGTCACATGTATGAAATGAAGACCCAGAGAAACATCTGGAGAGCCTCAGCAGAGCTGAGTGAGGAGGTGCCTGCCGGGTCGTGCTCCTCCTGCAGGCCTTGCCCTATAGCTCTTTTTTTTTTTTTTTCTTTTCTTTTA